GTTTTTTAATTAAAATTATAAAATATGATAATTAATAAAATATAACACTATTCTACTATTCTACATAACATCTTACATTAGTGGTTAATATGGTTGACTTCTGTTAAATTAGTTTTTAATTATTACATTAATGGTTAAAGTATCACCCATTATTGAAATAATTCACCACTGATATAACAATTAGTTTTGTAATTAAAATTATAAAATATAATAATTGATAAGATATAACAATATTCTACTTAACACCTTATTACATTAGTGGTTGATTTTTGTTACATTAGTGGTTAATATAGTTGAATTTTGTTTTAGTTGTTAATATTACATCACATGGTTGAAGTATTACCAAAGAGTATAAATAGAACAAGAGAGCCAACTACGCTCATTGAGCGCATAAAAAAAAAAACGATACGCCATACGTAGCTAGTGTAGGATGCCAACTAACTATTGAAATCATTAATCACTAATGTAACAATTAGTTTATAATTAAAATTCTAAACATTTTTTTAATTTAATAATTCATAACTTCATATTTTTTTTAATTAACAAATTATACATAATTATATATAATTATAGGGCTTCAGGTTTTGTTAGATTAGTGGTTAATTTTTGGATTCATTAGCAAGGTACAATATCATGTAAAAAACCTGACCTTCACTCTATGATGCCTTGATTTATACTTTGTTGAACATACATTTCCTCACTTATTAAGTACTACTAAATTATTTGTCACAATGTAAGTTTTGACAGCTGAGGTTGTAATTTAAAGCCTTTTAAAAATTATTGAATCCCTTGGGTTCTACACCAATTGAAAGTTGGTTCAGTGTGATACTCTATATAAGGTAATAGAGCATGTTTTGTTTCAGCTCACGTTATAAAACTGGTTAATTTAGCTTGTATTTTACTTTGTTACCTTATATAATAAGTTTGCTTTCAAGAATTTAAAATAAGCTATCTTTCACTTACTATTGTTTGTACTCTATTTAGTTGTTTCATCATTCTTACTTTTGCTTTACTGTATATATTATTATGATTAAGTAGAAGAAAGCTTCCGATCTTCATGCAATCTGCCCTTGGCAGTTCAGGAATGGGGGGGGGGGGGGCACAACCGTATAAACTGCTTGAAATGGTCCTCGGGACTGGCGGCGGCCCGCAACCCAAACCACCCTGGGAAGGAGTCTCAAAAGAGACTCATAAATGGTGAAGAATGGCTGGCATCGCCCGGGCAACGAGCTGGGAAAGATCAGAACTGAGAATTAACTCCTCAGCCTCTGACTCAAGATAGGCGACTCGTCTCCCCCACAAGGACCTTCTCCCCAGGCCCACCAGAACCGGGGGAATAGACAGGTCAGACACAGCCGAAGCGTCCTTCAGCCCGGCGAAAACCTCCCTGGCAGCACGACCCACCTGTTTGGAGAACAAAGACACCAAAGCAGGGTCAAGTGGACCAAAAAGAGACAATGGACCAGCGGAGGACATGGGTGGCGCCAGGATTTGCCCAACGTGGGGGTCCGATGCTCCGACGAGAGGTCGGATTTCAAGCAAAGTGGGCTTGGTCGAGCTTCGATTAACAGGTTTTCGAAAGAGGTCCAGGGGGCAAGGCCCCCAAAATTTTTGACAATTTAGGTTTTTCAAAGCCTTATTCAATTGATTTTAGAGTCTACTAATATGTAGAAAATACATAAAAAATTTTTTTCTCCCCAACAAATTGTGCTTTTTCTCCCCGACAGGGTGCCTCCCCTGGCGCCACCCTTATGACCCTCGACACAGCCGGCAACAAACTCCCAGATTATGGGGCAGCTTTAGGCTGCCCAATCAGGAGCCGCCGCAAACTTAAGTCATGGGCCAGCTTGCGCAAACCTCGCAGGGCTCCACTTTACTGCAAGAGCAGCACAAGAGGGGAATCGGAGTGTCTATCAAGCTTGACACTCCGTTTGGGCCCCCACACACCGAGCACGATTTGCGCGCAGACATAGCGTCTACAGACTACTAAATCAAAAGCTAAAACAAAGGATATGTCGTAAACTTCTTGAAATCAACACAAATTCGTAATCTAAGGAATAAAAAATATAAATCCAAGCTTTTTCTTCTAAACTTCTTCCAAGAAAATAACACAATTTCTCAATAAAAAGTATGTGGTATAATCCTCTTTTAGTCACAAAGGGGAGCTCTAATGTCGAACTCAGTCGAATAGGGAATGAGGACGATTGTTAGGGAGATGGTTCGTACGTGGCACACTGGGTTGGACTGTTCTATATTTTTTGGGAACAATGGCAATTAGTTGGTTTTTCCAGGTAAGTATTCACGAAATGGACTATTATAATTAACAACTTATTAATTTACCATATTTAATTAACCCTATTTAGTTCTCTACGCAGAACGTCTGGGTTGATGAAAGAAGGGTGAATGTAGGCTTAAAATAGTTTAGTATCCAATGATTACCCAACGATTACAGATGACTACTATTATTGCATCAAAATCTTGGGTCATTAAAACTTATCTTTTCCTCCAGTGGTGTTGCTATATGTGTGTATGTATGTGTATATATATGTGTGTGTGTGTGTATGTGTATATATATATGTGTGTGTATGTGTATATATATGTGTGTGTGTATGTGTATATATATGTGTGTGTGTGTGTATGTATATATGTATGTATATAAAAAACTTATATGATACATATATACACATTTATAAGGGCATGTAATATCGATCTCTGTTACTTGCTATGCATCATGGACAATACTGAAATCACGAATTCTAAAACTATCGCAAATTGTGTCTCTTCTCACCTGACTAACGTTAATGCTTCACTTGAGGCATTGGATAGAACTTTGTTGCCTGCTTTTCTTCCGTGCACTCCTCCTCGTTGGATTGAACCATGGGAGGTCCTTGCGCAACTTAATAAGGTTAAACTTCGCACTTCGAGTGGACCAGATCAGATTTCTGCTAAATTCATCAAATTATTTTCGTACGAACTTTCAAGACCTCTTTGTCATGTTATTAACTGCTCATATCAAGAATCTGTCGTCCCACATCAATGGAAACGAGCTCATGTAGTTCCAATTCCGAAAGCGAGTCGTGTTCCCTTTTCATTGAGCAATATGAGACCTATTGCCATTACAGATCATTTCGCTAAGATTGCCGAACATTTTATCGCTGCTGACACCATTGCCACAATGAAGGTTAAGCTAGACAAGATGCAGTTTGGAAATCTTAAAGGAATTTCAACTAATCATTGCCTTATTAATATTTTAAATAAACTTCATAGCCACGCAGATACACCTCACGCTGTTTCATCTATTCTCTTAATGGACTTCTCGAAAGCGTTCGACCTCATTGATCATTCGATTGCAATCCGTCGGATTTTGGATATGTCTGTCCCTTCTGCTTATGTTTCTTGGATTGCCGAGTTCTTAAGTGGTCACATACATCAAGTGAAATACCAAGGAGTGTTATCAGATCAAGCGGTTATCAATGCCGGTGTGCCTCAGGGCACCAAACTGGGGCCCATTGTTTTTCTAGCAATGATAAATGAGGCTTCTAGTAACAACGAATCTATTCATCATTATAAATATGTTGATGATCTCACGTTTGTGGAATCTCGCAAGATTCATCAAAACTCTGAGCTTCCTAACTGTGCAGCAAGTATTCTCTCATGGTCCGAACAAAGTAACATGAGACTTAATCCCTTGAAATGCTTTATTATGGACGTTTGTTTTTCTAAAAATCCTCCCCCGTGTATTACTCTTAATGACCAGGTTATTGCCACATGCGATTTTTAAAACTTCTTGGGGTGTTTATACAATCTAACCTTAAGTGGGACAAACACGTAAACTATATGGTTAAAAGAGGTAATAGTAGGCTATATACCCTGCGTACACTTAAACGGCGGGGTGTCTCTTCTGACGACCTGGCGATAGTCTATACCTGTCTCTTATACACATCGTCGCGCCACAGGAGCAGTCCTTTACCGTATTTGGTGAATCTTATTAATGACTATGATCTTGAGCGTTGAACTGTGCTCCTTTCACCTTTTGATGTCTTGTTTCCGTGATGGATTTGAGTTTTTTTTATTTATTTATTTATTTATTTATTTTTTTTTTATTAACAAATTTTTATTCACTTTTTAATCATGAAATGTAATTCAACTCTTAATGCGTACGCATTAATGAGCTGCCATATTTTATGAAATTGTTGTTGTTTTGTGGTTTTTTGAATAAAGAATACCGAGATGAATCAAGGACTAGTGCTGTTGAACTATGCATATGTGTAAAGGATTAGATGCTTTAAACTGATTTAAATTTTCAACAAAGCATCAATGGCCTAGTTGGTTAAGGTGTCTGCATAGAATGTAGAAGGTACCGGGTTCAAATTTGAGTTTTGATCACCTACTTTTTTCACACTCACAGATTCCTCTTCTTCAACGTTTAAAATTTATTTTTTGTGTAAGATTTTTGAAAATTAAAATTTCACTTGAGTCAAAAAAAAAAAAAAAAAGAATAATCTACATATTTCTGCCACACTGTGGTTAAAACATACATGATAGGCCTACACTTCGGCATAAATAGATATACCGTACAGTAAAAAAGTACAACTTTTAATGTTGATTCTTTTTTCAAATTCCAAATATTAAAGTGTCAGCCAGCCCCCAGTCTTAGTGGGTCAATTCAAGTTATTTCTCCACCCTACAAAAATATGGAATCTCCACCACTGATATGAATAACAATGACTATAACATTTACATGAGTTACAGGGCATTGTGAAACAAAAAGTAAAATTCAATAAACATTGTTATGAATACACAGGATACAATGTAGTAGTAGTCAGAAGCATTAATTATTTATCACGCTTTAGATTACACAAATTAGTAGTGATATTGGTAGTCTATGAATGACATACTTACTAAGAAAAACCGACTAATTGCCACTGTTCATTAAGAACACCCCTATGGCAAAAATAGAACCATCTGATTGTTTAGGCGCCAACGCCCTATCTACGTCATCATTTGTTTGTCGGTCAGTACAGTAAGTACAGTATTCACGAAATAGACAATTATACTTATCATTTAAATTGTTAGAACCTTTTAAATTCTGCTGTGTTTGCTTCTGGTAAGTCCTTTTACACTACAATTTAGTCAATTTTTGGTTTATTTATGGCAGACAGACCATATAGGTTACCTCTATGCGCAGATCTGCTAGGTGATAAAGATACTTATAAAGCACTATGCATTGGAGTATAGTGATGTAGAATATGGATACCTGATTTCCACCACTGAAGCACAGTGATATAAAAATAGGAATACCAGTGCACTTGTTATTAACTTGTTTATATTCTAAGACTCTTGAGTATTAAAAAATAAAATGGACATAAAATGGATTTTCAATGTTTTCCATTTGAAAATAACATTTTTAAGCTAAAATTAGGTGGTATTAGAAAGGTTTTGTGTAAAATATATTGGGTTCACCTAAACGATAGTTGATGGTGAAAATCAATAAAATTTGTGAATGACATCATTTGCGAACAGAGAGTTTATTAAAATATTATATATAAAGGTGTTTTCATAGAGGCAGTTATTTCTATTTTATAACCAATGAATAAGATATACTATACGTTACATTATAACTATGACGATACTGCTAAAACTGCACTGGAATTCCATACTATTATGGAAGAATAGAGAACGCCCCAGTCACCAAAACAGTTTCCTGAATATAGCCCCAATGCACGTCAGGCTGTCACAATAAATCTATAACCTATACCCTGGTTAGAGGGTCAACATTGATGAATATTTATTTTAAGGTGGTGAATGCTCATCATGTTTTTGTGACCTCAGACCAAATTTGAGCTACAATCTATGCTACCTGTTTTGTAAAAGCTGGCAAAGTCGAGCCTCGCTGCAGTCTTTTTAGAGCAGGACAAAAAAGCAGATCCAGAACAAATAGAAATATCTTCCAAACAATGATTACCGAGTGTGCACTGAATTAGGCTTAATAAAATAAAAAAATAATTATTATTGTGAACATCAACATCGTTTTTTAGTATTAATCCTCTTTATCTTTTAAGTATTCAGTAGTTTATATAGTCAATTTATGTTAGTTGAAAGGACAAATGCTACCTTACTTCATTGTAGCATTGTCATAATTTTGATTTAAATCAAGTTAGTTTTAAGTTTGTTAATAATATATGGTGTTGTCAATGTGCATTTTTGTTTTTAGTTTAGTTTAATAAGTTTTATACAACTGTATTTATGTACCTCATGTCCTTTTATAAGAACACCCACTGGGTGAAAGAGTCTTGTGAATAGATAAAGATTATTATTATTATAGAATAAATATGTGGGGAACGTTAGCAGCAGTAACGAAGGAGCCAAAGGCCCTACTTTTTCACATTTTGAATATGTATTGTACTTTTTTTCTTATTTCAAAACATGTAATATAATGGCAAAACAGGGGTGGACATTTTCCATTTCCCCTTATTGTTATACAGCCTTTGCTGAACCTGCAGGATGCAACTGAATTTGGTGTACTAATGTAGGCCTCCATCTCAATAGGTGGGCAGAGTTTAATTTTTTTCCATAATTCTTGACTTTGCAATTGTACAGTAGTTCTTTTGATTTATTACTGATCATTGTTCTTAATTCCCAAAATAGATACTCAACAAGATTTGGAAAAAATATGGGGACTTCTTCAAGCACGAATCTAGAACTAGAATCTGGTCGGGTTGTGAATGGCTACCAAGTAGAAAGAATTCTGGGCATCGGGACATTTGGTGATGTATATAAAGTACAGAAAAACGGAAAGCATTTTGCCTTAAAAAGGATTGATAAGTCAAAACAACAGTTGGATTCTGTTAAGAATGAGATCCAATCTCTCCAAATCGGCGCACACGTGAATGTTGTGGGGTACATCGATAGATTCCATGATAGCGTTTCTTATAACATTATCTTGGAATACTGTGAATATGGCTCTATAGACGAATACTTAAGGAGATGCTGGAACTGCACGTTTGAAAAGAAGCGTATGGGATTCATTCAAAACATTGCAGATGGCGTAGCATATCTTCATGAAAACAATATTGCACATCGAGATTTGAAGCCTGACAACATTTTGATCGACAGCCAAGGTGTTGCTAAGATTGCTGATTTTGGATTGGCTAAGGTTTTTGATTCACCTGATATTAGGCAAACATTGTACACAAATACACTGGCTGGCACATATCCCTACATGGCTCCTGAGGTAATAAATGGTGAAAGCTACACTATGCAGGCAGACATTTTCAGTATGGGACTGATATTTTGCTGTATTTTACATGACGACAATAAAAAATATGTTGAGGAAGAAAGGATTGGATTTAAGATGATAAATAATCAAAATTACTATGTTCAGTTACATTTACTGAAAGGGATGCGTAATAACATGGTAAAGCTTATCCTTAATATGCTTCAGAAGAAATACAAAGACAGAGTGATGGCAAATTATATCAGCGGACGAATAAAACTATTTCGTGAATATTTAGATTAACTACCACACGTAGAACACAGCGACTTGCAAGTGGACATAGGAAACGATATCCTAGACTACAAATAAAAGGAAATGTTATTTATTCTTCTTGTAAAAATAATAATATGAAAGAAAATCTTCTGTTAGAAAAAGCTTCTTGATATACAGTACATCCGAAGATACAATCTCAAAAATGCATGTGGCTGTAAATAGTACATTCCTTAGCACAGTTTAGTTAGACTGCTTAAAATTTGATTATAAAATTAAAATTTTCACTATTTACACAAGTGATTGTATTGTCAAAAGTAGTAACTGTCACATAGTCAAATATGCTAATGATATGGCCTTAATTGTTTGTTAAGAAATAATACTGAGCATGTATAGAAGACTGAATTTGATCAACTTATTACATGGTGCAGTGATAATTATCTGAAGATAAATGCAAAAGACAAAGGAAATAGTGTGGGATTTCAGAAAGAGATCAAATGACAAACTGCAATTATCAATTGAAGGGAATTTTATCGAACATGTCCAAAAACCTTGGCACTTACTTGGATGATAAGTTAAAATTTGATAAGAATATTGATCCAATTGTTAAAAAAGGGAATCAAAGGCTTTATTGGTTGAGGAGACTGAATAAATTAAAAGTTAGTAATATCATGCTTAAACTATTCTATGAATCAGTTTTTCAGTCTACTTTGGTTTTATTTTGCATTTGCCTGGTTTGCAAACATAACAGAGAAAAATAAGATTTAAATTAGGAGGGTCTGTAAAACCCCTGGTAAAGCAGCCTCTAGAATTATTGGTTCAGCAGTTAATGATGTGAGTTGCATTTATGAAAAACAATCATTGAGGAAATTTAATAAGGTTACGGAAAGTGGTTCTTATCCATTACGCAATGAATTCACAAATAATAACTCGGGCCGGCTTAGACCACCAAAAAAAATCACAATTCAGATTTTCTTTTGTTCCAAATGCCACTTACCAACTGAGAAAAACAAAAACTCGCCGACACCTGCAGGAAAAGAATCGCTGGCCGGTGGTTGAGTTTTAGTGCAAATTGCATCGGCCGTTGTCGTGACTAGTCTGAAACCCTATCAGCAATGCAAACTGCATTAAATCCGATTTTATTAAAAGTCATAAACTTTAAAGGCTGATTTCTCATATATTGTTCTTTAAACAGCTGTGTGGTTAAACGCTTGTCCGATTTGAATGATTTTTTTACCATTTTATAGCTATCATTTTACTCTCTAACACTGTATTAATAACTCAAAATCGATTTTTGCGACGAGTGACTGCTTTGGCATGTCTTTGCCACATATGCTAGGTTGAAATTTTCTAAGTTTAACCACGGGTTGAATTGGAATTAAAACTCTAGGACCACTTTGAAAACCAGTATTATCTGAGTTATTAAGTCTGCTAATATGCACTGGCATTTTCTTATGCATATGAGAACCAGCCCGCCATCCCCTTTTACGTTTAAAGATAGCATTAGGAGACCTGAAATTATTCTTCAAATTTAAAGGCATATTCATTAATAATATTAGAAAAATTATAAACAATATATCAAATCCTAATCAATAACATTACAGGCAAAGTGAGCCAAGCCCAGTAAGTATACAACAAACAGGAAATTGAAGTGATCAAGAGCAATTGTTCTCCCCTAGTAAACACGACAAAAACAATAGAATCTAAGTTGTAAGCCTAGCAAAAACACTACAAAAATGCACCAAACAAGGAAGTAAAAAGGAATCAAAAACTATGAAGAACTTGACATAAACCACACCAAGCATAAATTATTTGAAGAAAAAAGACAATTAAACGAATTAGCAAGAAGTGCGAGGCAGACAGCTAACCAGCACCAGACCACTTTATATCATTTTTAATGGCGATCCATTCAGACTGCAACAATCAGCAGATGCTGTCACGTTGTCTACTGCTCACAGGGAGCGGAGATGGATTTGTCGTATGATGCAGGGAGTGCCCAGTTTAAGTCATTCCTAGGAATGTTGACCAACTTTGATGATCATTAGGTCATTGTAAATAGTACATGTTTTAAAATAAACACTTTTCATTCAGTTTGTAATCTAGTCACGAACACAAATAAGCAATATTAAAGCTGATAGTAAAACACTTATGTTTTTCTTTTATTTTACTTGTACATATACATATATGTATAGATATGCAGGATTTTAACAACAAACTCTGGAATAGAAGACAAGTATTTTCATAATTATACAGATATAAAATATTTCTGGTACATACCTGCACAAGCTCCATCATAGAAGACAATATCATCAATTGCTGCATCTCCCAAGTAACCAGATCCAATGATGACCTCAAAGAGAACTTCATAATCTCCAGATGTTGTTGGAAGAGTAGCTTGACCTAGTCGCCAGACATCACCCTTGTTGCCTTCCGTTGACCAGACGATGGTGTATGAGTCGTACAACGGCCATTGACGAATACGAAGTTTACCCATCTGCTCTCCATACATGTGGTACCAAAACTCAATGCATCGAGACTTGTCACTTCGGTAGATGCCGGATATCAACCAAGCATTGTCACCCTGTACTCGTGGAGAAGAGGCTTCAGCATACAAGTAGGTACCTGACAGAACAGAGTATACACTCAAACAGTAAACTACACACATTATCTGGTGACTTGTTGAAATATATTGATTAGCTAGCATGGTTATACAAATTATTCTAATCAGTGGCGTATCTAGAAGTCTTGAAGTGGGGGTGTTGATGGTGGTGCGAAGGGGAAGAGGGGGAGGCTCGATGATCAGTTGAGCGGCACTAACTCAACAAAATAATGTTATCTATGTGAATTTTAAACTACTTGATCATGATCATTTTGGGGGGATTGGCGACCGGGCGGGGGCATGTGAAAGTAATCAATGGAGGAATACATAAGGGTTTTCTAGGGATCATTTAATGATAGCAATAGACAGTTTATCCAGGTGCAGATAATCATAGGCACTGTAAATGGTATTTTTTAAAATTTTTCAGAGTGGGGCCTAGCCCCCATGGCAAAGTAGTCTATTGAGTCACCACAAGTGTTCAAAATTATCAATTACTTATTAAATGAGATGAGTGAACTAACCATAAGCTGAGCCCAGGGTATGATCCAAGGCTGGTCCTGTGCTTCCTGATAGTGTTGATCCATGCATCCTTTCCCAGTCAAAATCATCATACTTCCCTTCAGCGTTCTTCCATGTGCATAGACTTCCCGTCTCAAAGTTGCAGTCTCCGAACGGTAGACACGCGCCATCTGATTTGACAATGTCATCGATAGCTATGTCGCCTTGCCAGCTTCTACCACAAACTCCCTCAAATACAATTTGATAGTTATTGCTACTCACAACGGTTACCTCTACTACATGCCATTCATCGATACCCGTCCAGCCGTCAGACCAGAGGAGAGTATAAGTTCCCGATACTTTCTTGTAGACGTTGATGGTTCCCACATCTTGACCATACATATGGTACCAGAACTGGAGACACTTGCCGTTGGTTGCCGGGTAAACTGAGCTGACAAAACGAGCCTTGTCCTGATTTTGGCGTGGAGATGACATTTCAGTATACATATAATGACCTGATATATGAAAATAGCATTTTTTTCTTAAACATAGGTTCAATAACAAAAATTTAACTTTTTACATTTATACATGAATAACAAAAATAAGAAATATAAAAAATATTAAAATAACAATAATAATAATAATAATGCAAGCAACAATCACAGAACATTCCAATGGGGACTAACATTTTTCTCAAATATTTATTATCATCTTTAACACCAATGTTACTTTCACAGGAAAATTATGGAATTCTTTGAGAAAAACAAAAAATAATAAAAATATCAATAATAAACATAATTAATATATACTTTTTTCATCCAATGAAATTTGGGTATATTTCTTCCATTTTGCATTTCAATGCTACTTACCATATTTGGTAGAGTAGGTGTGATCATTTGCAGGCCCTGTTCCCTGACTTGGAGTACCTCCTGATTGGAGCGTCCAATCAAAATCATCGGTGGAATCTTGTGTAAAGCCACACAAGCCATTCTCAAAGTCACATCGTTCTGTTTGACAAAACAAAATATAAATAAGTAAAACAGATAATATACCACAAAATTCAAAACGAAAATAACCCCTTATTAGAAAAATAGGTTCAGAGTACTGTATACTGCAGAAACTAGGTCAAAATCACTCTAAACATTGTCCATATCAGACCAGCTGCTATCAGCCATTGGTCATTTGTCAAAATGTAGGTCCAATTACCAACTCCCTGATAAGTTGGATGGGTAGTTGGAATGCAAACTTGTAATGAACCTTCACAGAAGAATTCCAACACATTCCATTTTACAAAGGTATTCGATCACCACAACATAGAGTATATAAGTGCAGTATACTAAAGAAATATTTGGTACATAAGTTCAAATAAATGAGCATACTGTAGCTTGAACTTACCAGTCGGTGGGCAGTTGCCTGAGTTAAACCAGAAATCATCCACTGATATGTCACCCTGCCAGCTGGCTCCACGTCTGGCTTCAACAACCAACTACAGTCAACAAAAACACAATGATACATAATAAATTGATTAAAATTTTAAAAAGATAAGAAAATAAAAAGATGAGTATGGACATTTATTTATTTGAAGCCTGACACATCAAGTCGTCATCTCTAAACCCCTGGCCAACAATACTTTAAATTATATAAAATAACATAAAATGTAATGAAACAGTCATAAGATCAATAAAATGTTTATAGGATAAATAATTGTTTTGTAAAACTGATTTTTCTAAAACACAAACAAGCATATTTGATTGGGAATCAGGAACAGTTAATGAGATACAGATTTCTGAATATTTAAAAACAGAGGGAAAAAGGGGGTGTAACCATCCTGTTTCCACCTTCCCCCTCCCCCAACTCCTCTTTTAAAATATTAAAAAATCGAATCTCAATAACCATTCCTGAGTTTCTCATCAAATAAGCTCCTTCAATAACTTGTATTAAAAGTTGGTAGAGGAAGGTACTAACTTAAAAGTGGAAGAAATATAATTGGAGACAGAGGATAACGACCAGGATTTTAATTATCAGTTAATAATTGTTTTTATTACAGATTGATAAAATCTTAAATCTTCACAACAAATTCACATTAAATTTATTAAGATTTATAATTTTGTTGCATATACGAATGTAACTGTATTTCAATATCAACGTACAGAGAAGATGCTAGGCTCAACAATGTAGGAAGAAATATAATTGGGGACAGAGGATAACGACCAGGATTTTAATTATCAGTTAATAATTGTTTTTATTACAGATTGATAAAATCTTAAATCTTCACAACAAATTCACATTAAATTTATTAAGATTTATAATTTTGTTGCATATACGAATGTAACTGTATTTCAATATCAACGTACAGAGAAGATGCTAGGCTCAACAATGTGGATTTGTCCATAGTTCCACTGAGGTCCAAAAGTTCCCGTATGTTTCCACAGGACAGTCTCAGTACTGCCAATAGCCTTTGAGATGGTAAGATCATCCACATGAGGTCCATGCATGTAGTACCAGAAGTTCATGCAGACTCCATTCGCACCATTGCCGAATTGTTGACTCAAAAGTCGTGCTGTATCATTCGGTTGTCGTGGGTCAGATGTTTCGATAAATAGATACCAACCTAGTAGAAGATTTTCAAAATCAATAGATTGAATGCTGCCATTGAAGGCCAATATGCACACCAACTGCATTCTACAATATATCAAATTATGTATTTAGTCAATCTATCCACAAAATGAAAATATCAGCCGTGATGTGTTTTTCATTTTATTTCATTCATTTGTCTCAAACATTAAAATGTACAAAAACAGAAACAGCAAAGAACAACCACAATAGCATAAGAAAAAAACATGAGACAGGACACCCCAAAAGTAAACTTAATCACTGTCTAGTGGAGGCCCTTTGACAAAAGAAGAACAAATCCAAACAATATAGAATTCCAAATAGATAAAAGATTGAAAGATCTATAAAAAGAAAACGAGCATAATTTAAAAGGCATTTAAAATAATCTAATGATGCATTAAAATTTATCTTAAATGAAATGTTAAAATACAGCAGTAAAACACAACTTTGAGTTGTAGCATACTATGAAGCAAATTGAGGCAATAAATCACAAATATCTCAAACATGACCTGTGTTCTTCCTTAGTGTAAGTACATAGAAAATAGCAAAGTTGGTTCGAACTTTTATAACCTGAATCACTTTTTTTTCGCAAGTATTTGGAAATGTACTGAGTATTTGGTACGATAACATGTCAGGTAAGTTAAACATCACTACTACTCCTATGATATATTCCTGACGCAAACTCACATCGAAATAACATTTGCAGTACCCGCTGCTACTTTGTGATCGATCCTACAC